TTCAGTTGAGGACCTGGCTTTTTATCAGGCAAACATTTAAGTTACTCATTGGAGACTGAGTTTGCATCTAAAAGTGAAGACAGGTACTCTATTGCCCAATGTTAACCACAAAATACTATAAATATTATCAAGTCAAGAATCTCACCTTTGTTTCTACCCAATGCATGAACGACCCAAAGGGACAATTAGATGTTAGATATCTATATATATATTAGATATACTACTGGATGGCTTTATTGAGTACATCCCATACTCCTGCTTGCTTATCAGACTGTTTCTAAACCAAAGCTATAATTGAAAGGTCCCACAAAATTCACAAACACCACTCTCTTGGCTCAAACAACACTTGTTTTGACCTTTTCATTGTTTATTACTCAAGCTTTCTAATTTTTTGGTGGGGTTGTGTAAGTTATATTTCCAAGACAGTTCATTTAGTGCACCTTTATAAATGTATTGATGCGATCTTTTTGAAATTTTGTATTCTCCTTCATGGTGTTTTGAGACAGGTTTTCACATAGATCAAGCTAACCTTGAACTTGCTATGTAGACAAGGCTGGACCTGAACTTCTTCCTATTCCCACCGCCCAAGTGCTGGAATTACAGGTGTACATCATCGTGCTTATCTTTTAAAACTTCCTTATTAAACGTAATACAGAGAGGTGAACACACATATACTATAGAACAGTGTGTTTGATAAGGGTATAGATCAAATGAATCCCTCAACTGTGCACAACCATGTATCCACACACTAGGACGGAAGCACAGAGATTGGAGTGGTTTTTAATTCAGTAGAAACATAATCAGTATAAATCGAACCATATTGCGGTGTATAATCCAGTGGCGTTTAGCACCTTCCCAGTGATGTATAGTCATCTTCTCCATCTAGTGCCCATACATCTCACCAGCAACCTCTCCTTTCCCCCAGGTCCCCAGCAACTCCAAGCCACTTTCTGTCTCTGCAGATTTGGAAGCACTACGTCTCCATTTTTATTAATATGTGAGGGTTTTTAGCTGTGCATGTATAGTAATCTTGGCGTGTGAATGATGTGTGTCTATGCTGTGTGTGAGCACTACACTTGGCAGCACCCCCGTGGAGGTGTGCCTCTGGTGTTGGTCCTGGCCTCCTAACTTGTGTGAGTCAGGATCTCTTACTGTCACCACTGCATGCACTGGGCTGGGTGGCGTTCAAGCTTCCTGGGGCTCTTCGCCTCCGAGCTCATTGCGGGTGTCTTGAGATTACAGACACGTGTTATCACATCCAGCTTAATGTAGTTTCCAGGGGTTTGAGTTAGGGTCCTCGCACATGCACAAGCATATTTTACGGACTGATCCATTGCCCCAGAACCTTAACTTATGTTTCTAACTGGTTTCAAACTTAATTGTTATGTGATCTTATGATACTGACTCTTTGAAACTTAATTTAAACTTGCTTTATGTCTCGAATTGCTGGGAGTGTTCATAAATATGGCATGCAGTTCTGAAAGGAACATATGTTCTCTGATGGTTGAGGGCAGTGTTCCATACAAGAGCTTCATATCAGACTTTTAATCATATTTATCAAAGTCTTTATAACGTCACTGGGGCTTTTGGGCTGTTTGATCCATCAATTACTGTGAAAGATGATAAATCACTCTCTGATCACAAATTCGTCAACTGTTCCTTGAAGCACTGCCTGTCTCTGCTTTTGTGAAAGACTTTTCAGATAACACAGAGAGACACCAATCAAAGCAGAGGCCTTGGATGCACCGAGGTGTAGAAAGACTCCGAGCGTCTCCGTCTCCTCTGTCACTCTAGCCCAGCTTAACAGATGTCTCTCCAGAACAAGGGGGCCTGGCTTTTACTCTCTTGGCCTCTCTTTTCCTTTTCCACCATTTCAGAGACATGTAAGTGTAGAATCAAAAGGGCGAGCTAACAGATGTGACGTCACACACCTCCTGGAACCGATAGCCCCAGCCAAGAGAGCAGGGAGGGGGCCAAGTGGACCCCAGGCATTCAGTGACCGGACGGTCTAGGAGAAATGCAGAACTCCATTTCAGTAAGAAAGCTTGTCTCAAAAGAAAACACAGAGAGGCTGAAGAGAAGGCTCTGTGGTTAAGAACAGGCGCTGCTCTTGGGAAGGTCTTGAGTCTGGTTCCCAGTATCCAAGTATCGTGGCCCACGACTGCTTGTAACTTAGTATTCAGGCTTCTGTGCTGGCCTGTCCTTGGGGCTCTGACAGGATACATCCTCAGCTGCAGCCACTAAGAGCACCGCCTGTGCACATTCACTGTGCTCCCTTTTAAGAGGGCCCTGCCCACCTCCCAGTCCCCTCCCTCCCCACCCCCCCCCCTCCTCTTTCCTCTCTCCTGCTGCTCCTGTCCCTTTCCCTTTTTATGATCCTTTTCCCTAATTTAAAAAAAAAAAAGCCCTCTGCTTGAATCCTGTCACAGGGCGTCTTTCTCTCCAGCGCTGCTTTTCTTAAGTTACAACAGTACCCCACTGTAGAGAATGCAGCACCCTCTTCTGGACTCTGTGGGCGCAGCACTCAACTGAACATGACAACACACAGACACGTGTAATAGTGTGGACAGGGATAGAGGAAGACATGCGCACAGCCTTTATACACATTCACACACACTTGCACACGCATGCACATGCACACGCACACACACACATTCGTGCATATGCAGACACACAAGGTGGGTAAAGAAGATACAGACTAAAAATACTCCTTAGAATTGCAGCTAAAAATACTCCTTAGAATTGCAGCATTGAGTGAGTGTTTCATTCACTAACACCCACCCTCACAGGTCTCCGTTTTCCACCGACACCTCTTCACGGCCAGGGGAGTATTGGATGAAGGGTGGATAGAACACTGTGGCATCTCTCATCCATGTGGTCTTGGGAATACGGCCCCTCTTCATCAGGCAGAGGAGGACGAATTGTGACTCATTCCACGTGAAAGAGAAAGACCCCGTCGCTCAGAGCTGAATTCACTCTGTGATTTTCATACCGCGGCCGGAACAAGAAGGAGAAACGTAAGTGGCGAGTCAGGGTACTGGCTTTAGCAGCTCTAGTCCTCACTGCCTGCTACGTCTAATTTCAATAGACAATTGAAATAGATTGTCTTAACCTGGTAAAAGAATTTTGTCTATTCATAAGGCCAACTTGCTGACGTTTTGGTTAGGAAAAAAAATGGCAAGATGTCTTTTATTCTTCTGGGATCCATTTCCTGTAGTAGGCTTCACGACTTTACATGTTTTTTTTTAAATCAGGAAAGTCAAAATAATGCCAAGTTTTGTGAGAAATAAAGCTTATTCTTTGGAATGGACCAGTGCCATTGAAGGTAGACCAACTTCATTTTCCATGAAGAAATGCATGCCAGTCCAGTGAGAGGTGCCTGGATTTGTTCCGATCAGCTTGCTGTGCTCATCGTAATTGTTTATTTGAAACAAGCAGTCCAGCTGGCAGCTGTCTGTCCCACTGGAAGGGCCCCCGGGTTGCTGACTCATTTCTCTTCCCAAGACTGAATGGTTCGTTATTGCAAAAGGAAGGCAGAGCCAACCTTGTCTGCCCTGACTCGTTGGAGGTGTTATCTAAGAACGGTCTTTTCTCTAATTCTTCTCCTCACTTTCAGGAGAGGCCTTTGGACTGTGCTACCAAAAGTAACTTTGTGAGCAGATGTTGCATATAGGCCCCTGAGCCTGGAGGTCAGAGAAGGTCGTGAAGTTTGCTGAGTAAGAGGATAGTGTGACAGTGACACAAAAATGGCTGGTTAGGCCACTTTGTCCCCAGGACTCATCACCCACCCGTGAAATCCTGGCTTGTTCATTTTCCTGAAATGCCAGGTAAGATACTGTCAGCCATTGCTAGCCAAGTCCTATGGTGTGGTCAACACATTAACGTCCTTATAGAACCCTGCTAGCATTTAGTCAATCTAGACAGCATGTTTGTTATTTAGGTTACGTGTTGGGAATGGTGCTGGATTTTTACAAACCCTTGTTTGTAAATTCTTATCCTTATAGTTTAACTAGAAGGCTGATACGGTTTGGATGCAAAATGCCCCCAACGGGCTTGTGTGTTTGAATAACTGTTCCCTAGCTTGGGGTGCGGTTGTGGAATATTCTGGAGGTAGAGCCTATCTGGAAGAAAGGGATCTCTAGGTCAGGTCAACCTTGAGATTGACTTTGCAGTCCATACTGCTACCCTTCTCTGCTTCTGCTCTGCAGAGACAAGTGAGAAGCTGAGCTGTCCCAGTGGGTGTTGCTGATGCCATGGAGTCACCTGCCTCCAAGCCATCCCTGCTGGGGTGGACCAAATCATCTCACACCCAGAGCCAATTTAACCTTTCCTCTTCTACATTGCTGTCTGGCATTCTGTCATCACAAACAGGAAAAGTAACCATATGGGGCCAAGACATAAGCATAACTCGTAGGTCATTTCTGTTCACCCCTAGGAGCATGCAGGGTTCAACCCCTCAGCAGAACATCCCGTTGACAAGGACAAACGGGACATGACAACTGCAGGCAGAGCGTCTTCAAACGCTACTCATTGTTCTATTTAATCTTCAGAAAAGTCATTAAAATGTAGCGAAGCTCCTAAAGAGGGTAGCGGCTCTAATTTAACGTTAGACTTTGCAATAAACACAATTCTTCTGAGTATCTGTCTTGGCTCAGTTTTGCCCAGGCCTAGAATTTTACTCTTTCCTATGATATAACACATTTCTTCCTATTTTTGGAACCTGATCCAGACTGCCGTATTGTGAGGGGCACTCTACAAATACAAATCACTTGTACCTGGCGTCCGCTCGTGATTGTGACAGCTGATTATATGGGTTTGTGGACAGAAAGTGGAAGCAAACCCTTGTTAATAGGACCCGTCCAAGAGCTGTAAAACATTTCCATTAAGTTCAGGAGCTTAGGTCCCAGATTTGAAACTAAAGTTTCACCCTATAAAATTTTTGCCCAACTGTCTTGAAGTGAAACAGTAAATTATCAAATTTGAGTAATAAAGAAGCAATCTTTTGTAATGTGGCACGGAACATTTTTATTGGAATAGCAGTCCGGAGACAATGGTCTCTGAGGCCAGTTCCCCAGGATTCTGAAGACCTGACTTAGGAAGGAAAACATCAAATACATATGACAGACTCTCCTGTTATGCATTTGATTCAAACGCCCCCTTGAATCAAATCCTACAGAACACAGGTCTGGCACTCAAGACAGTTCCAAGCACTGTCTCACCTCAGGGGCACACTCCTCATCCCTCTGTGCCCGCATCTGGAACGCCTCCCCACCCTCAGAACTGAGGACCCTACCTAGGTTCTGGAAACCAACCAGCGTTTCACTCCCCACCCCAGGAAGCCTAGGCTGGCTTGCGAGCTCCCATTTATCACTCGTGGCTGCTTATTGGCTAACAGAGCTCCAGGTCCCTCCGGAGCTGCGGAGCCACGCCCTTTCTGTTTAGCATCCGCAGCATCCCCTAGAGAGCTTAGTAGTAGTGTGGGAAATGGACTGAAGAGGAAACGTTGTTAGGATCACGTAGGCAGTCACAGGTTACTTGGCATTCTAGGTTGACAACAGCCTTGAACTTCTGATTCTCTTGCCTGCCTACCCAAAATGCTAGGGTTAGAGGCGTGTGTCATCACATCCCGCTTTCAAAGGTGCTGGGATCAAACCCAAATTAACGGCCTTTGTGGCTGTGGCAAAACACCACGACCAAAAGCAACTTAAGGAAGGAAGAGTTTATTTTGGCTTACAGTTCCAAAGAGAGGGTCCATCATGGCGGGGGAGGCACGGAAGCAGGCGGCGAGAGCAAGCCGCTGACAGCTCACATCTCTAAGCGTGTGCAAAGGCAGAGGTGGACTACAAGCCAGGCTATAGCCTCTCAAAGCCCGCTTCCTCCAGGAAGACCCCACGTCCTGAAAGTTCCACAATCTCCCCAGACAGAGCCATCAGCGGAAGAGTAAGTATGCAGCAGACACATTGGCCTTTGGAGGCCGTCTCTCATCCAAGCCCATAAGCTTGTGGCCATTTCACGACGCAGAATGCAAAGGTCCCCAAAGACTTCCTTAGTCTCAACATGGCTGAGACATTCAAAGTCCAGAATGTCTTCTGAGACTCTGTGAAATCTTATACCATAGCCCCATACAACAACAACAAATACACACTTCCAACATACAGCGTCACAGAATGCCCATTGCCATTACAAAAAGGAGGAATTGGGGCACAGTGAGGAAATACCGGACCAAAGCAAGACCGAGATCCAGCAGGGCAATCTTCAGATCCTGCAAGTCCACTGTCTGGTATCTGAGGCTTTGGTGCCAACCGGCTAGGATGGCTTCATCTCCAACTTCGGTGCCCGCGTCATACACCTCTCTCTCAATCTGGTTCCAGCCCCTACGTGCGGCTCTTCTTGGCAGCTCTGGCATCTTCACCATCCTGCGGTCTGAAACGTGCCGAGCACACAGAAAAAGGAATTACTTCAGAGCCTGAAACTCCAGCCAGGTCAAGACGAGGATGAGAAACGACACACGTAGTCCCCAGCCTGGTGTTGAAGAATTACGGAAGCCTCTCCCTGGTCCTCAGCTCCCAGTCTGGCCACGTTACTGGGTCTCCAGTAGGGGATGGACAGGTCCTCCTGCCCTCTTCTGCCCATGTCTCAGGACCTCAGAGAGGGCCGGGAGTCCCTTCAGTTTGCCATTCAGAATCGGGCTCCCTGCTGGGAGCGTTATAAATACGGATGGCGATGGTGTGTGGCATCTTTAAATGTCCTGCAGGGGGAGAGGAATGGCCAAGTCCAAACGCTAATATTTTGAGACTCCACGGGTAGCCCACGCTGCTGCTGGCTTAGTCACTCTTTGTTGTGATTAAAGAAGCTTGTGTGGGTTTTTCTTCTTCCTCAGAGACAGGTCATGGGTTCTGTCTCCCCACTAAGACACTGAAGGAGTTTCGGATCCTTAAGGGCGCACACACAGCGAATTCTCTAAAGGAAAGGCAGGCTTCAGCACACTAGTGAACCTCCTGATTGCTGCAGCTCTTGAGAAATTAACGACAATCCTGCCTGCCTTTGCTGTCCCTGTTGTTCCCTGTGGGCTTGGAGCCCGGGAGCTGAGCTTTGATCCTCATCCAGCCAAGAGCCACCCTATGTGTCCTCAGCCAAGGTGACGGTTTTTCCAGGGTGTGATTTGGATTTCTTTTCCTAGAGAAAAAGTGGGCCCCTGAATAATTAAGTGACTGAGCCTTCCCATGGCTTGTAATATTTGTAATATTTGTAGTGACTCTAAAATTATGCACTTTTCACTGCAAGATTCCAGGGTGTCTCCTGTATCTTTTTTTCCTTACTGACACATATGAACAAGATTCCAGGGTGTCTCCTGTATCTTTTTTCCTTACTGACACATATGAACAAGATTCCAGGGTGTCTCCTGTATCTTTTTTCCTTACTGACACATATGAACAAGATTCCAGGGTGTCTCCTGTATCTTTTTTCCTTACTGACACATATGAACAAGATTCCAGGGTGTCTCCTGTATCTTTTTTTCCTTACTGACACATATGAACAAGATTCCAGGGTGTCTCCTGTATCTTTTTTTCTTACTGACACACATGAAGCACGCATTTACTGAATTTCCTTTATGCTAATAGCCCGCTCTTTCACGTTACTTAATTTATTAGAAACTATTGCAACCACGGACACTCTGTGTGTGTGTGTGCATGTGTTTGCGTGCATGTCTGTGTGAATGTGTGTGCGTGCATGTGTGTGTTTGTGTGCACGTGTGTGTCCGTGTGTGCGTGCTCACATATTTGTGTGTTTGTGTGTGTGTGTGCCTACACATATTTACTTACTTGTGCTCAAAATAACCCTATTAGGCCAATATCATAGAAGAATAAAAACTTCAGAGGTGTTGATTAATTCACTTAAGGTTGCTGAGCTAGAAAGTAGACAAGGCATAATCTGAACACAAAGGGATTGTCTTAGAATCCATGTCCTAACTCTCAGGCACACTACAGCCTCCCAAAGGTATATGTACATGTGTATATATCGGGTCTTCTAAATTCCGAATGTGTTTATTTTATTTCAGTTTGATCTTTACTGTATATAATTGAGGTATAAGTAGACTGGTTTATTCATACATAGAAAAATGACTATAATATACAATCAAGTTAATATAGCTAGTACTTAAATTTCCATTCTCTCTCACTTGCTCTCTCTTGCTCTCCTCCCCCACATACCTGTAAAAGCACCTGAAATCAACTGTATTAACAAGTTTTCGATATTAGTGATTGTAGTTTTCTAGAATTATCATTGTACGTAAGTCTGTTCCTCTTTGGTAAACTCCATTTCTTCACTTTTCCTATCAGTGGTCACCAACCACCCTCCTCTCCATTTTAACGTTTGATTTTTTTAATAGAGATTCCACATGCATGTGGTGTTGGGAGGCATTATTGTTAGCACAAAATCGTACAGGATCATCAGTGTTGCATCAAACAGGTGACTCCTTTTGTAGAGTGCAAACCATCTGTCAATCATATCTATCTGTCATCTCAGTTTTCTCATCGCTGTGACAGAAGTGTGACAGAACCATCTTCAGGGTAGAGACGTTCATTTGGCTCCAGTGATGTGGAAGCCATGGTGTCTGAAGTACCTCCATCCTTGGGGACACGGCTTACAGGACAGTTTCTTGTCTGTGGGTGAGTCAAGAAGAGTTGAGCCCTCAGGCAGGAACCACGAGTGGAATCGACTTCTGGTCTTACCCCCCAGAGACCTCCTTTCAGATGGGCACAGTGGCAAAGTTTCCACAACCCCCAAACAGCACCACCAACTGAGGAGTAAAATGCAAATGCATGAACCTGGTGGGTATATTTCACATCCAAATGATGCCATCTGTCTATGCCATAGTTTTCCTATGAATTCATCCACTAATGACGCTTAAGGATTCCCATGTCTTGGATAGTATCAATAGCATCATAGCAAACAGTGAATGGTCAAAAAGTGTGTCTTGAGATCCTTTCCCCCTTGTCTCAATACAGATGTTTTTAGTGATGGTTCTGCCCTCAGGAACATCCTTCAGTGACATCTCTGTCTGGCTGAGACAATCAACACACAAAGCTACTGTTCAAACATGCAATAACCAAAGCCACTTTGCAGCACGGTGATATTTCACACCAACAAGATAGGAATGGAATGTTCCACTAGCCATTTTGAGTGGTGTTTGTTTTCTTTTCTAGACAGCACTGAAGGAAAACCTTTACTAAAGGCATATTCTCCTGGGTATGTCATGATTGCTAGGAAAGTTGGCATAACCATGGCCACAACTAAGCTGAAGACCCTGCAGTTCAAAGATCACTGATTTAGTTGATCAATAATACAGCTTGGCTTCTTTGCCTTTTTCAGTTTCATTCACTCATTTCCGTATTTGGTCTGACTCTGATTGAACTGCGCCTCTCTCTATGGCAGGACCGCTCCTCTGATCATCATTTCTGACAAGATCCAGATGGCTGGTGAATTAGGCCCAGGGAGGCATGATGATGCACGTCAGCTTCCTGTGGACATGGATTTAGGGTGACTCTCCAGGCTGTGGGGCTTCTCCTAAATGCAAGACTTGTAAATTCCTAATACTTTCAAAGCTCGTAGTGAGCAGATATGAGGCACTGCAGAGAATCAAATAGAAGGTAAATCATCATCACCACCATCACTATCATCATCATCACCACCATCATCATCACCACCATCATCATCATCACCATCATCATCACCATCATAACCATCATCATCACCATCATCATCATCACTATCACCATCATCATCACCGTTATCATCATCACCATCACCATCATTATCATCACCATCATCATCATCACCATCATAACCATCATCATCACCGTTATCATCATCACCATCATTATCATCACCATCATCATCATCACCATCATCACCATCATCATCACCATCATCACCATCACCATCACCATCATCATCACCATCATCATCACCATCATAACCATCATCATCATCATCACCATCACCATCATCATCATCACCATCATAACCATCATCATCACCGTTATCATCATCACCATTACCATCACCATCATCATCATCACCATCACCATCATCACCATCACCATCATAACCATCATCATCACCGTTATCATCATCATCATCACCATCACCATCATCACCATCACCATCATAACCATCATCATCACCGTTATCATCATCACCATCACCATCATCACCATCATCATCATCATCATCACCATCATCATCACCATCATCATCATCACCATCACCATCATCACCATCACCATCATAACCATCATCATCACCGTTATCATCATCACCATCACCATCATCACCATCATCATCATCATCATCACCATCATCATCACCATCATCATCACCGTTATCAACATCACCATCATCACCATCATCATCACCATCATTATCATCACCATCATCATCACCATCACCATCATCACTATCACCATCATCATCACCGTTATCATCATCACCATCATCATCTTCATCACCACCATCACTATCATCATCATCATCACCATCATCATCAGAAAAAATAAGGAATAGCAAACAGGAAAGAATGAGTCATGAACACTACATGACCCGTCAATTGTAATCATTCATGCTAGGATTTAGTTTCCCCATGTCTGCACTGAACAGTGAGATCTTTAAGACAAAGAGGAATCTGCCTTTGGTCCATAGCTGGAGTTCTGTATATGAGGTGGCCCTTATTTCTATGTTGACATAAATGTGCGCATATATATATACATATAATTTCTGATTATCTAAACTCACTCAACACTCAGCCTATGCTCATTTCATAATAACTTTTGGCAGTAATTATGGCATAGAGATAAACACAGGCCCCGGGAGGCAGACATCCACTCTCCTCATGTTCCCTTGGTAAGGAGCACATGGCAAAGAAGAGAGTGACCTTCCAAAATAGGATGACACTGGGTTCTTTTCATCACTAGACATCAGGACCTGTGCATGGTGTCCCTTTGTCACATCAGCATCAGGTGGGAGAAGGGGCCCTCCACAGACTGTGCCCCCTCAAAGGGCAGGGAATCTTCTGCCTAAAGGAGGGACTAACTAACTGTAAGGGGAATTGTCCCAGGAAAATAAACTCAAAAGGCAGAAGCTTTCTGCAGCTGCTCCTGAAATGGTCTGGTCACACCTCACCCCTTCCCATCTGCCTTCCAGGGAAGGAATCCATCAACACCTGTTGGTGTTGAGCCTTCGCTGTGCTGCATTTGGAGTGCCAGGAATTCCTGCCTCAGGGCACAGCAATTGCGCCCCCATCTACTAGGGATTTAAACACTACGATGGTTTTTAGTAGAGGTCGGTTTTAGGCCAGCAAGAGAGAGGGGATACAGAATCCTGCCAAGCAAGTCTAGCGATCTGAGATTGATCCCCACGACCAACTCCAGTAGGCTGTCCTCTGGCTTGCACACATACTCCGTAGAATACACATACACATAATAATAGTTGTCTTCATTTCAGGGGATGCTCTCTTCCCTTGCAAATTATAGGAGCATTCAGGCTGCAGCTTGGCTGCCATGCAGCATCCTCCAGGGTCTGGTGGCTGACAGATGAGAAAGCTCTCTGTGTGCACTCTGGGCAGAGCAGCCTCCCAGATGGAGATGAGGACGGACGCCTCTCTCTCAGACAAGGAGCCTCTGTGGGAACATGAAGCCACCCAGGGCAGAAGCTCCAGGGTGCCCTGTGAGAAAGCCATCGCGGCCCTTGCCGTGGAGTCAAGGGAGGCTGGTGGGTTGGGTGCTGCTACCAGCCAGGGAGTTCACCACGTCCCTTCACAATGCAGTGCATCCATCCAGACGGGGAGCCTGATGGCTGGCCTCTCTGCCAGTGTGCCTTTGCTGTCGTTGCTCATTCTTAGGCTCTCCCTGAGCCTGGGGAGGCTGGCCTCGTTGTTCTGCCATCCTCCCACCTGTGGCAGCATCTGCCTCCCTTCCTGCTCCCACCTGTCAGCCGTGGCAGGCATTTGGTCCTATCTTTCTCAGAAACCATCTTCTAAGCAACTGACGTGGTCCCATTGGATAAAGGTCCCTAGGTAGGTGTGGGTAGGAGACAGCTAGAGATGGCGTGGAGCTAGGTTCTGGTTCCTGCTGCCACCGCAGGCAGCTCTAAGCCTCTGCAGCTGTGGCAATTCCCTTTGCTCACTCTCATTGCTCGGTGCTAACAAACGTGTGCCTCTCTGGCTCTCCGTGCTTCCCAGCCCCTGTCTGTGGCAGGCATGACTAATCGACCACTGTACTGTTTAACCTTGGATATGGCCTCACCAGCTTCAATACAGAGCTCCTGACGACTGCTCAGTGACTTGAAGTCTACTCAAGATGAAGCTGATCTTTCCACACTAACCTAAACCTGAGAATGCAGTGGGATTCAGTGTGAAGAGTAGGGCAGGTCCCTCAAAGACTAGGTGATAGATGATAGACAGATAGACAGACAGACAGACCTTTATAAAGTCAGCCAGGTGGAGGTAGAGAGATTGCTTAGTGGTTAAGAGCACTTGCTGTTTTTAATGAAGGACCCAGATCTGATTCCCAACACCCACATGGCATCTAACAATCATCTATAAATCCAATTCCAAGGAGACCCTACCTCCACTTCCGGCTGGCACGGGCACTGGATGAATGCGGCATACACATGCAGGCAAGACATTCATACACATAAAATAAAACAGGCCTTTTCATTTTTAGAAACTTTCCAAAGGTGTCAGCACACGCCTACAATACCAGTACTTGGAAAGCTAAGGCAGGAGGCAAACTGTGAGTTTGAGGCCAACCTAGGCTGCATAGCAAGACTTTGTCTTTGAAGAAAAAAAAAGAATAACCCAAGCCCAGAGAGACAAACAACACATGCATGTTTGTAGGTGTGTGTGTGTGTGTGTGTGTGTGTGTGTGTGTGTGTGTGACTTGGAGTGTATATAGAGATCAGGAAGCTAGGGGAAGAGGCCTTCGGGGGAGAGGGGACAGCAGAACAGAGGGAGGACGAGGCAGGAATACGGGGGAGGAAGATGTCAGCAGGAATGAAGTGTGGGGACAGAGAAAGGAGAGATGGAGGCACAGACCCCAAATCGAATCGTGTGTGAAAAGTCTTACGGAACCCACTACTGGGCAAGCTAATTTAAATACGGGGGACTTGGAGCGGAGATACTTTGCACGGGTGGATAGTGCTGCTCCCAGCAGCCATGGGTTATTAAATGAAAATCCCAGTGCCTCCATGTGAATTGTTGATTAGGAGGACCCAGAGACCCCCCCAAAAATAACAAGTCTGCTGCCATCGCTCTTGGTTGCTCGCCCTAAGCAGATGGTGAGACCATACTCCTGAAGACATGATACACTTTGGTTGCAGGGTTTAGAGAAGTCAAGGTAGCACTACTTGGGGACTTCCCCCCAGCTAACAAGACTTCATTGCTCTAGAAGGTACTATGCTTGTCCCTAGGGGAGTAGAGCATCGGTGGTCTTGTCCAGGAGAGGGCCCCGCATGCTGCAAGGCTGCCCTTCCAGGTAAGATGCGCCCACTAATGCATTGATGGTGCAGTACTGTGGAAATAGCAAACCACCTTCTGAACGGAGTTGAGGCTGCTTCAAGGGAGGGAATCTGTGCATGGTCCAAAAGCCCACAGCCAGGAGGGCATAGACCAACGGGGGAACCTACAACTGTTGTTTGACTAAGCAAACATGGTGTCAAACCGCCTTCTGAACACCTATGTTTATACCCACAGATCAGCGCTGTTCTCTGCCTTAGTCAAAAGGAGCAAGCAGCAGTTATGGCTGAGAATAAACTCCTGCTAAGTGCTCAACCCCGAACATGGCATCAGTGTTAACCCTGCCACAGCTCAGGAACCATTGCCCAGGAGGGAGGCGGGAAGAGAGCGCGAGGATGGGAGGAGGGCTGTGAGACATGGCATGGCCCTGGTACTCAGGAACTCACAGTGGTTACTGCCCAAGACTGAGCACCAACATTCCAGCCCGGATGGGGAGAGAGCCTGTAAGGCCCCACCCCGATCTGGGGAGCTAATGGCAGTTAATGGATGCGGTGGGAGGGGTTGTGTTTCTTCAGAGCAGTAATTACTAGCGAGTTTCCCAGGGTGCAGCAAATAACCTCACACTCATGCCAGTGCAAGCAACCCTGATTAATGTCTGTTTATTTAAGGACACAAAGGAGGAGGAAGACATGTTGGGAGAAAGGTCTCAGAGGGGGTGGGAGGGGGAGAAGAGAGGGGAATAGAAACAGGATAATATGATCAAATTATATGCATGTATGGAAAATATATACATGTATGGATTTGTCAAAGATAAATAGTATTTAAATTAAAGCAATAAGACAATAAGCCCACCAGGCACACCTCTTAATGACACCGACTTACTAGCAAAAATATCCTCACCTGATTCTTTTTATCTAGACGGACTCAGGCGAGAGACACTGAGACATACCCCCAAATCAGCAGCGGGGCTAGTCAGTGAAGAGCTCACACAGCTCTTCCAGAGGACCAGATCAGTTCCTAGCATCGGTGGGGGCGGCTCGTAACTCCAGCTCCAGAGGGATGGTACCTGGGGTCACTCGCACATGTGTGGCGTGCACGTATGCATACAAATAAAGATGGAGACAAAGCTCCTTGCAGGCTCTCAGAGGAATGCCCTCTGGAGGAATGGAGTGTCCCCTGGCTCAGTAGCTTGGTGTAGGCTGTGTTAGACAAGAGTTCAGGCCTTCTGAGTCCCGGGCCACTGTTTCTACTTGCTGACTGCACTGTTTGGCTTGGCAAGGAAGAAAAAAGAAAATCTCACATTGCTACTTAAATCACAAGCAATGAATGGTTTTCGTTAAAGCTCACGGTGAGAACTAACGAAGCAATGGTCCCCCATTGAGACTAGACAAGCAAACCCCTTCCCTCAGACACTGGGTGGTTGGATACAGAGTTGGGGCTTCCTTGTTATATAATAGTCCCACCACTCCCCGATGGGGTACTGAGGAGCCACCTAGCCTAGTTTCAAACCTCCTTTTCCTTGCCCGCACAATGGACATCGGTCAGACTGTGTGTGCTGGCCTTCCTGGACAGAGCAGCCAGAAGTGAAGAGAGCCGGAACTTGGCCATCCATGAGGACAGCTGTCGCCAAGATCTGCATGACAACCTCTCAGGAGGTGAGCTGTCATTCCCAGAACACGGGTATCGTTGAACAAATACTGGGGTGTGCAAAACACGTACCCCACCGCTCAGACGGATGGAAATTTGAGGCTGAAATGAGCTACGCGAGTGGCCCCTGTTCTAATGGAAATGCCAGGGGAAGGAGCGACCCTTTAGGGACCACCGTAGGATGAAGGGTTGCTCCGGATCGGCAGGATCCAATGGGCCCTTCCCACCACCCCTCTTGGCTTCTGGAGGAGGGTGGGCGCTGCATGCATGCCTGCCTGGGAGCAGTTGAACAACGTGCTAAAGACCAGCAAGTTACAGATTAGCTTACGGGGAGTAACGCAAACACATCTCCTTGGGGTTGCATTTATAAGGGCTCCTGCTGGGTGTTCTCCCTGTCTGGAGCCGCTCTGTAACCACGCCCCCGCCGCACCAAGGCCTCTGCCTACCGTAGGAAGTGGCGCTTTGTTTGTTCACCCAGCGGAGCTTCCAAGATATGCATTAAACATGTGTTCCTTCCAGCTCTGGCAGCTTGCTGCGTTCTTGCAGAGGAAAGGCCAAACCGGCTTTTGTTCTTTCTGCTGCACTCAAGGAGTGCAGAAGGCAAGGTAAGGTGAAGGTTTCTCGTTTGGCCACTAGGTGGCGAAAGAGTTCCACCGAAGAGACTGCTGCTGCTCCAAGGCAGAAAGGAAATCCTAGACAGAAGTTGGAGGCCTCAAGTGATTTCAGAGCAGGACAGGGCGAGAGACATCACGTGGCCCAACCCTATCGTGTTATGTGAGCAAAGGAGGTCTCTGAGAAATGAAGGCGCTTGTCTGATGTGGGCAACCTCTAGCGTTCTGGCCAAGACTGCAAACCCGGGCTCCAATTTCTAGAACAAACTTGTTCAACAAGCCACTAAGTCCCCACCCCCCATCCCCTTTTTAGGTATGCTTTTGTCTTGGATTCTTGGCCAAACTCTGAAGGAGGGGTGGACTTAGCATTTCAAAGCAGACTCATAAGAGGAGTGTCAGTCCATGGTTCACCTCTGCTATGAGCCACAGCCTGGGCCACACAGCACATGCCCTCCTACGTCCTCTCCCCCCAGGCATCCAGTGACCGCGAGGGTTGGATGCAGACGGGACTCCAGCCAGCAGACCTGGAGTCATGCTCCTCTTAATCACTACTCACCCAGCATCCACTGGGGCCCGAGCCATGGACATTTTTCAGAAGGAGGACTTACCATCATTATAATATATTCATACGGTTGTGACGGTTTGAATCAGATGTCCCAGTCTCTGGCATTGTAATACTCAGTCTGCAGTTGGTGGTGCTGTTTGGGGAGATTCAGGAGGCTTGGCCTGGCGGAAGGAAGTATGTTGCAAGGTGTAGGCTTTGGGAGTTTAAAGGGTCAGCCGTTTTGAGTTTGAAGATGTGAACTCTCAGCTTTCTGCTCCAACTCTGCCGTCATAGACTTATCCCCCGGGACTGTGAGCCCGAATACACCCTTCCTGCTGTAAGTTGTCTTGACCATGCAGTTTTAGCAGCAGAAAGGTAACTAAGACAATGTTCTTTATTAGTTTGCATATGCCCTACCATGTTTCAGAAAGGACTTACAGGACAACTAAGCAATCCAAGAAAGATTTGAACCTATCAAACTACTTACTGGATGCCAAGTTTGTTTGTTTGTGCATGAGTTGTTTTGTCTAATATCCTGCCAGCCAGAAATCATATTTGTCTAACTCAACTGCCCTTTCCCCCCTGACAACTATGTATTCATATTTTTGACAAATGGGAACTCTACATTAGTGGACCTACTTTAATTTGATCTTCTTTTTTTCCTGCCACTTTTGGGCTGTGACAACACCCAACACTGTAACCTTGGTGGTCTCCACACTTCTTATAACTGAACTTGAAGCTGTGCTGCTATTTTGAACCCTCCTAGGGGTAGGTAATGCCATGAAGCACTCAGATCTTCTCTTCTCTTCCAGACACCATTCGCCATTAAAGGGATCGGGCATGAATCAATACTGTTATAAAGAAAGAATTGTGTTACAAGGAGGTAAGGGACAGATCTTCCTTATTTAACTGCAATTAATAAACGAGGAATGAAGAGCACTAACCTAAGGGGAAATCCACACAAAACAGAGATTGTAATTTAAATGAGCCTTGGAGGTTGTTAGTATTCAGGCATCTGTGCTGGCCTGTCCTTGGGGTTCTGACAGGCTTCGCCTTCAGCTGCAGCCACTGAGAGCCACCTGTGCACATTCACTGTGCTCCCTTTAAAAGGGCCCTGCCCACCTCCCAGTCCTGTCTTTCTCTCCCTCCCTCTTTTCCTCCCTCCCTTTCTCTCTCCCTCCCTCCTTCCCTCCCTCTCCCCCCTCTCTCTCTGCCCCTCAGCCCCATTGGTTCCCTGAACAGGAAGACTCTCCTGCATCTCCCCCTGCCCTCAGGCAGATTGAGGCACACCAGAACCCTGGAACCCAGTTCACATACAACGGCCTGGCTTCTCCGGATTTCTGGGTCCCTCCATCCCAAGCTGGCATGATTGGTGAGCCCTTCTCCATTCCCCACCTCTGGCTGTTCCATGCGTGAGCACTGCTCTCATCTTCAGAGCGTGGTTTCTCACCCTTTGGCTTAGTTAAGTCCTGGTACCAGGAAACCACCCTTGGCCCCACTGAGTGACCTGTACCTGTCTCGAAATTGGCCCTCTCTGAATTCCTGGGACACTAGGCATTGCAGACCCTTGGGTTTCACTTCTCTGCCTCACTTGTGGGAGCTGTGCCGATGGCCAAACTTCCTTGCTCCCATTGGGATGCTTTCTGGAGACGCATTGACCATTCCTAACCAGCTATGGTTGCAGGACCACCGCTGTTGGCCATAGAGCTGCAGGCGCAAGGCCACCAACCATGTCCAGGTGGCTGTGGTGATGGGAAAGGATCAGGTCCTTTAAGCCCTAGGGAGTCCACTCGGATCCACCAAGGACAGCATTTTGCCAGGTTCAGGTGGCACCTGATGGTTCCACAGAGCCTGGACAGTGAAATAAAACCACCAACTATGCCAGGATGTGGCCAGCACCCCAGTTTTCCCAGGCCCCCCAAAAATGAATGACAGCCCCCAGGTCATCAAGAAGTAGCCCTGAGAACATGGCATCCTCATCCCCATCTCACCTGCCACCTCTTTCTAATGTCTCACCTTTTTATAATAAATAAAAAAGATGTGCTGGCCTGCCCTTGGGGTTCTGGCAGGATACACCCTCAGCTGCAGCTACTGAGAGCACCACCTGTGCACATTCACTATGCTCCCTTTTAAAGGGGCCCTGCCCACCTCCCATCCTCCTCTTTTTCTTTCTCTCCCCATCCCCTGTGTGCCCAGGTTTCCTCTCCCCTGCTGTTCCTGTCCCTGGAGCCCAGTCTACCCCCTCCCCTTTCTCCTTTTTTAAAATCCTTTCCCCAAATTAAAAAAAAACCTCTGCTTGAACCCTGCTGCATGGCGTCTTCCTCTCGTGCGCTGCTTTTCTTAAGTTTCAACAGAGGTGACAGTGGACAAGTAGAATGCAGTAAGGCCGGGCGTTTACTGATTGTTCCCATGCAGTGTCTCACAGTCTCTGCATCCTCAGTAATGAGCAAAAAGACCGCATTTCCCACTGTCCCTCGCACAAGGTTCCCACATGGCTAACTCTTGGCCAATGGAACATCAGCAGCTGCTAGGTGAATTTCCATGGAAGCTTTCTGAAAACAGAACACAGGGGTGGAGATGATTTCCCTCTCCCTCTTTTGCATTGCTTCCAATATGGGAGGCAGACTTAATGGCAGGTGTTATCGAGGATGTACGTGAAACTTAAAGCAACCATGAGGCTGGAGACTGCATGCTAAAATGCAGAGAGAGAGGAAGAAAAATTCCTGATTTCCCTGCAGAACTGCCAAGCCACTCCCATTCCCTCTGCCTCCAAACTACACAAGCATCACACAGAAGTTCAGGTCAGTCATCAGAAATACTGAATGGGGACAGGAGTATGGACACCCATGAGCTACAGTAAATGGTAAGAAACAGAAACCTCTGTCTCGGACTATGTCATGTTTGTGCACAAGAAAGTAATGTTACAGGCACGAATGGTCTGAAACACACACACACACACACACACACACACACAGAGAGAGAGAGAGAGAGAGAGAGAGAGAGAGAGAGAGAGAGAGAGTTTTAATTACATGAGAGAGAGTTTTAATTACATGGCTGAGGGATGTTGGGCCACACAGAATAACAAGTGATGTCACCTGGTCCAACTGACAAATGGCTTCACATTGCAGTCTGTTCCCAAACATAGAAGGTCTTCTCTTCCAGTGAGAACAACTAGGGCCTTCCAGAAATCTGGTTATCTTCTTGAGTGAGGCTGCACGAGAAGATCGCTATTGAAAACATTTTCTCCTGGTAGGAAAATGAAAATACCTTTCCCTTTCTTTGCTGTGAGAAGTTTTCTTAAAATCTCTTATATGTAAGTCATGTTAGGGGGGCACTTTATAGAAAAGTCTACAACATATTTAGACTTTCTGTCAAAGCAAAAAGCAGTCAGGCCATTCTGGGCTGGGAGAAGACTCAGTTGATATTTTTAGCTCAGACAAAAACCTCTCTAAGCATACAACGAGTTGTCATTGGTTAAGATTTTAATGTTAGAAGTACAAAATCCACGGATCTCTGTGAGTTCGAGGCCGAGCTGGACTGACAGCCTCCAAAACAATACAGAGAAACCCTGTCTCTAAAACCAAAAAAAAAAAAAAGTACAAAATCCCTATAAAAATATTTGTGGTAGTTTGAATGTAATTAGTCCCAATAATCTCAGAGGGAGTGACACTATTAGAACGGATTATGACTTTATCAGAGTGGGTATGGCCTTGTTGGAGGAAGGGTGCCATTGTGGGGGTGGGCTTTGATATTTCCTATGCTCAAGATACCACCCAGTATCACAGTCAACTTCCTGTTGCCTGCAAGATGTAGGACTCTCAGCTTCAGCACCGTGTCTGCCTGCACGCCACCATGCTTGCCACCATGACGACAATGGACTGAACCTCTGACCTGTAAGCAAGGCCCCAACTAAACGTCTTCTTTATGAGAGTTGACATGGTCATGGTGTCTCTTCACAGCAAAACAAACAAACAAACAAACAAAACCCTACTAAGACAATATTAATCTGCTCCCCATTTTTATATGCAGAAGAGGGAGGTACCACCCATGATGGCGGTTAGAAGTTATTTTGTGAAAGCTGTGGGGTGAGTCCATCTGTCCACCTGTCACATCTGTCTGTGTATCCATCCATCCACCAGCAGCAAGGACCGAAGGGTTCTACGTGCCAGGTACAGAACTCACTGATGAAAACAAGACACACTTCAGCTGCAAGCAGACATACATGAAGACATTCTTCTCATTGAATACAGACTTCACCTAATTTCCCAACCCAAGGGGGAGGGAGGGAGCAAACCGATGAACTAGCACTGTGGAAAAGCAGGAAGATTAGAAAAAAAAAAGCCAACCACGGTAAATATTTATTTTCCCAGGTGTTAATACGTTAACCTTCCCAGTGCCCCCATTAGTATTCATTAGAATTCTTTAACTCAAAAGAAGCTAGGGTCTGGGTATGCAGTCAGTCATTTAATCTTCTCACAGCACGAAATGGGCAGCATGGGTTAGATTAGCATCTTCTGCGTTGGAATGCCACCTCTAAAACTCACGCTGGAAATTGACTTGTTACTGCTGCAGTGTTGCCAGAGGTGACCTCAGAGAGATTACTCACTCAAAGCCTCAGCCTTCACAGAAGCGATACTGTCATTCTTGCAGGAGTGAGTAGACAGCTCACCCCTCTGGTCCCCTCTGTGTCCTGGTTGCTCTCTGGTCATGTGATACCT